ATTTAGGGGAAATTTGTGGGACAAAAATTTGCCCTTGGAGGCAAGAGGGGAATTATGAGAGTATATTTTTACCAACGCTTTATAGGTGTGAAGCGTGGGGTGATGAATTTTGCAGCAGGAGAGGGCGGGGGCAGTGGAGATGTCATGTCTGAGGGCAATGTGTGGTGTGAATATAATTGCAGAGAATTCTTTATTTGGAAGTTAGGAGGAGGTGCGGGATTACCAAAACTGTTGTCCAGAGGGCTGAGGAAGGGTTGTTGGGGTGGTTCGGACATGTAGAGAGAAGGAGCGAAACAGAATGACTTCAAAGAGTGTATCAGTTCTGTAGTGGAAGGAAGGCGGGGTGGGGTCGGCCTAGGAAGGGTTGGGGGAGGGGGTAAAGGAAGGTTTGTGTGCGAGGGCTTGGAACTTCCGCAGGAAATGCGTGGCGTGTTTGATAGGAGTGAATGGAGACAAATGGTTTTAAAATACTTGACGGCTGTTGGAGTGTGAGCAAAAGTAACATTTATAAAGGGATTCGGGGAAACCGCGGGCCGGGAAAACTTGAGTCCTGGAGAGGGGGAATTACAGTGCCTGCACTCTGAAGGAGGGTGTTAATGTTGCAGTTTAAAAACTGTAGTGTAAAGCACCCTTCTGGCAAGACAGTGATGGAGTGAATGATGGTGAAAGTTTTTCTTTTTCGGGCCACCCTGCCTTGGTGGGAATCGGCCGGTGTGATAATAAAAAAAAAATAATAATAGTTAGGCTAGAAGAGTAGAACAGTGGTATATGTTGTGTTTGATATCCCCAGGAATATTTAATATATTTGTAAATGAATGGATCTAAATATCTATAATTATATATATTTAAGTTAAAAATAAATTATATAGTTATGTTACAAAGCTATATATATACTATATTAAATATTCCTGAGGATATCACACACAACATATACTACTGTTCTACTCTTCTAGCCTAACTATATTTAATAATTTAACTAAATCTTGGTAAATCAATCCACTTAAATATATAGTTATAGATATTTACATCCATTCATCTACAAATATATTGAATATTCCTGGGGATATCTCACACAACATATACCACTGTTCTACTCTTCTAGCCTAACTATATTTAATAATTTAACTAAATCTTGGTAAATCAGTCCACATTTTGGATATCCAGAAGAACTTGCCTTTTACTTCTTACAAACCTTTAGTAATAAAAGTCTCAAGAAAAGGACACTGACGAATGTATTCTCGAGGTGTTTTGTAAACCTAGGCCTTGATGGGGGCCCAAAGGCTCGAGACTTGGCAGCCTACGCTCCGGGAAAAAAGGCTGTGTTTGGGCCCAGCGTAAAGCTGAGAAAGAGAAGGAAGAACGAAAGATGGCAGAGTATGAGGAGATTTTTGATGCCTACGATGCTCAGTACTCATTGGTGAATTTTGCTCTTCGTAAGACTGACTCCCAACACAAGAATCAGCAGAAGAAAGCTTGGGAATACGAGAAGAAGAAAAGAGCAGAAGTTGCCGAGTTCCTGAAGAATTTTGAAGAGCGTGAACTTCAGGAAAGGAAGAAAGAAAATGATAAGATCTTGTTTCAGCTTGAAGAACCAAAAGCTTTCCTTCAAGCTTATAGCTGTTGAGTAGGTGAACATCAGTTGAGAGAAGAGTGGACTAGGCCTACTGGGGACACCACTATAAAAAAAACGAGCCTCGATGTCTACCTCTTGGGTGGCTTGGAAAAGACATTATCAATACTGATTACATACAAGAAGAGGTGATAAATGAAGTATTTGTAGTGATGATAAATGATATGCTGGTAGTTGTGATAAGTGAAGTACTAGTAGTTATGATACGTGAAGTGCTGGTAGTTGTGATAAGTGAAGTGATTTTAATGGTTACAATTAAAGTGTAGAAAAACATTTTTCATGCAGTGTTCTGCAAGGTTCTGTACTGGACCCCTATTGTTCCAGCTAATAGACAGTGAGACATGTGGTTCTCTGCAAGATTCCTTACTGGACCACTATTGTTCCTGCTATTAGACAGTGGGATTTGTGATTCTCCACAAGGTTCTGTACTAAACTGCTACTGTTCCTGAGATACATAAACAATATATGTACCTGAGAAAATGAAAGAACCCTCCCTAGCCCTGTTTGTGCATTATGTAAAGCTAATGAAAAAATAAAACCCTAGAGAAGACAGGAAAAAAGCTTCAGTTTGACCTACACAAAGTACAAAGCTTGCCACACAAGTGGCTATTGGAGTTCAACCCCACAAGAAGTTCAAGGTTGAGCAACACCAAAAATGTTATTCTCAGAGCATCCCAGGAGTAAACATGGTACTGAATATTTCTCCAGAAGTTAACATCAACTGAGTAGCTTTAAAGGTAAATTGCTAATTTCTGACCAAAGAATTAATACCTTTCACGAATCTCAGTATTGAATCATTTGTGACAATATATGCAACATCCATGAGGCCTGTCATCGATTACGCAACCTCAACATGAAGCCCACATCTGTTCAAATATGTTAATAATTTAGAGCAGAGGTCGGTGAACTTTTTTTGGGTATTACCCCAAAACAAAGGTGTACAGCAAAATTAACTACTAGACTACAAAGTCCACAGAATTCGGAAAACACAAGGAGCTTTCAAGTTCAAATACTTTATTGAATCCATCTGTATCCCAACCTCCAGAACTATAATATTTTCACCCTTCAGCATAAAAGTACTGTAGTTCCACTCCAGAACTACAATAATCCACCCCCTCCAGAGTACAGGCACTCAGCTTTCTAACCCCCAACATTTGGGAGCCATACTGCACACTCTTCAAATTCATTTTTTTTTTTCTAACTAACAACCATCTCCTTCTACCATTCACTGTCATTCATTCAGTCACTGTCCTTCCAAAAGTGTGATGAGATCAAAACTTCAGATTACCCTCCCAAATGCAAAATCCCCAACCCTTTTTCAGAGTGCAGGCACTACCTTTCCCACCTCCAGGCTCAAGTCAGCTAACTGGTTTCCCTGAATCCTTTAAAAAAAGTTACCTTCTCTCACTCCAACAGCACATCCATTAAAAACCATTTGTCTCCATTACCATACTGTAATTAAATTTTTTTTAACACATCAGCTGTCTTCCACTAAGGCAAGGTGACCTGAAAAATCAATGTTTTTCTCTTTTTACATTTGGCAATTTACACGAAGGGGTCATGAGCCCTTGCTTCCGGCATTTTAGTCGCCTCCTACAACACACTTTGTTAACTTTCGAAGGATTCTCTCCACTTCCCATTCAGACGTATATATAATATTAAAAAATCATACTATATGTTATTCTTACTATCTGGGCAGTCATTAGCTGCTGGATGGTTTTTATAATGTGTCAACAAGACAGCCGTTGAACTCTGTCCACCTTCAGCAAGCCAGCAGCCAGGAATCATAGCACTGTAATATGGTCCCCACACACCTGGCACAAAGATGGGATCTACACTCAAAACATATGTGACAAGCTGATGTTCCACAAATCAGACCTGAAAAATATACAATCATTGATATAAATGCACATAAATGATGAAAATATTTTTCCTACCCTAATTAAGTTCTCCAAAGTTTTTTTTTTTTTTTTTTAACAAACTGGCCGTATCCACCAAGGCAGGGTGGCCCAAAAAGAAAAACAAAAATTTCTCTTTTTAAATTTAGTAATTTTACAGGAGAAGGGGTAACTAGGCCTTGCTCCCGGCATTTTAGTTTCCTCTTACAACACCATGGCTTACGGAGGAAGAATTCTGTTCCACTTCCCCGTTTGGGGGTAAGAGGAAATAAACAAGAACTAGAAAAGAAATAAAGAAAACCAGAGGGTGTATATATATAAAATAAAGCTTGTACATGTATAAAGTAGTGTGACTTAAGTGTAAGTAGCGTAGCAAGACGTACCTGAAATCTTGCAATGTTTAGGAGACAGAAAAATGACACCACAATCCTACCTCATGTAAACAATTACAGGCTTTCGTTTACATTTACTTGGCAGGATGGTATAACCCCCGGGCGGTTGCTGTCTACCAACCTACTACCTAGAAGTTAAGTTTTTCTCTTAATTAAATTTAAATTCACACAAAATAATGTAGTTTACAGGAGATAAAACATTGTTAGAAAACAAAAATAAATTGTGGGGTGCATTACTTTAAAATTACTTAGAATTAGACAGACTATTAAGTAGGATTTCTATGCAGTTAAGTACAATTATGGTTCCAAATACAGTACAGGAGGGACTTGCTTATACAGCATCCTCTATTCGGTGTTCCACATTTTCAGTGGCTTTTGACTGAGTCATTGTTCATTATGTTCAGTGCTTTTACTACTTTCTGCTATTCTCACACAGTTGTATAAGGGAAGGGTGACCAGTGCCATAATTTAGGGCAAGTACTGTATGTACTGTATATGTATTTATTTTATTTTTTATCTGTTATTTTATGCCTAGCTGTTTTGAGCACTTAATATATAATAGTGTAAACACATTATCAGGCACATGAGCCACAATGGATAATGAAAAAATGCTCTTTTCCACCCATCAACTATTTTCACTTATCACACAGGGTCAGGAACCTAAGAGCCATACAAAAGGGGCCCTCCTGTACAAAGAAAGTAAAAAGACAGTAATCTTGTACACTTTTATATTAATTAATGACATTTGTAAATGCATAATTATTCAGTAATTAATACTGATGCTCAGTTTTTTTCTCCATGGGAAAGTGGAACAGAATTCTTCCCCCGTAAGCCGTGCGTGTCGTAGAGGCGACTTCTTCTTCTTATGACCAGAGCTTTGGTAAGATGGTTTAAGGAAGAAGGATGGGTAAGGATGGAAATATTGGAAAAGGTGGGAGGGGGGAGAGGTAGGATATAAAAGGTAAGTGGCCCAACCACTTTGGTGTAATTTAAAAAGTGTATGTGAAATGATAAGATATTCTTTAAGGGGTATAATACTAACCCATCAGAGTCACATAGATATAATAGGTATATAAGTACATGACTCTGAATTGGTAGTAATTATACAAGTTGCAATTGCTTTTTTTTTTTTTTTTTTTTTTTTTTTTTTTTCGATTGCACAACGGATATTTATGCGACAATAAAGGCAATAATTTTCTGGCCAGTTTATAATTTCGTGACAATGGCTTCTTATAGGTGGTGTCCAGCCATAGTAAATAGCATAATTTGTACATTAGAAAGTTATATAAGATGTCTCCCTAATTGGGGGCGATGATTTTCTCAGTATACATAGAAGGGTTCTGGTGGTACCCAATCTTCTTCATCAGGGAGGTTGCTCAATATCATGGGTCGAGGGTAATCATCGTTATGAATAAAACGACGGACCCTCTGTGGGAGAGTCATTCTTTGAGTCCTGTGAGGAGGAGTATTGATGGTATAATCTGTGGTATTTACCACTTGTATAGGATGTTCTCTATCTGGCATGTATAGTTCTTGCATTGTATAAAGTTGTTTCTTTTTTAGGGTGTCAAGGCGTACATTTATGGCAGTAATATCTTGTTGTATGTGTAAATCTGCCATTTTAACTCTGTCTCTCCTCCTGGTATCGGTAATAAAGCGAAGAGCTCTATTCTGGACCCTTTGTAACCGTAGCATGTTGGTCTTTGTTGTTAAGGACATTGGGACACAAGGGTATTCGAGTATTGGTCTTATTATCATTTTATACAGATGTTTTTTTGACATGTTGAGGGGCTTGATTGAATCGAAAGAGACTGCTAAGACCGGCTTTGGCTATATTGATCTTTTTAGTTACATGAGATGTTGAGTGGAGCAGCCTGTCAATTTCATAATCCCAAAATCTTGTTAGGGTTTCTAATGGCTACAGGTGTACCTCTGATGGAGATACCCCCTTTATCTTCAATTGTTGATGCAAAACATCCTATCGTGCTAACAAGGACCTTGTCAGGATTAGTCGTAATTCTCCATTTCTTTTCCCAATTAGATGTTCTACGAAGTTCAATATTCATTTTTTCTATGACTCTCTCATACTTGTATTTTCCTGTTACCGGAGTTGATGAGACGACATGAATAACATCATCTGCAAACTGTGTCACAATTGTATCATTAAACTCAGGTTGAGGAAGGTCATTCACATAAATGTTGAACAGAATTGGACTTAGACAAGAACCTTGTGGGACACCAGCTGTTGGTATAAAAGGCTCTGTCGACTTGCCATGAAAGGTGGGAATGATTTTTCGTTGAGTTAAGAAATTATATATTAATCTGAGAAAAGTCCAGTTATGGTCTGGTAGGTCAATGAGTTTGTATATAAGGCCATCATGCCATAAGCTATCAAAAGCTTTATGAACATCTCTGGTGGCAATTAAGGCAAGATTGCCCTGATGTTTTAGACTTGCTACAGTATCGAAAATAACATTTATTGCATGATTGGTACTTCTATGTGTTCTAAAGCCAAATTGTTTTTCAGTAAAAAAGTGATTAAACTCCATATAGTAGTTCAATCTGTTGGAAATGACTTTCTCAAGAACTTTTCCAGTGACTTCAAGTAAAGATATAGGTCTATAGTTCCCAGGTTGGTAGATGTCTTTATTGGGCTTACCAAGAAATATCATTCTAGCAGTCTTAAAAACAACTGGAAAATGTCCTGAGGCCAAGGATGATATTAAAGATATTTTACCCCCCAAAGGACCGTTGTTGACAATTTACTTCTAGGTAGGTACTTTATTTGTTTCATTGTTATTCCAGAGAGGCCAGGGGCTCCATTTCTCATTCTTCCAATAACCTGACTTATCTCTAGTAATGTAATAGGTCTAGTAAGCGGGTGGGTATCTTCAAGAGTTGAAGTATCGATGGAAGGTAGTGGTTGTAGATTATCCAAGTTCTCATCTCTCCATTCATTGACCAACTGATAATGATTATTATTAAATTGACGACTGTTATTGTGGGAGAGAATTTTCTCCCATACATCACCCATCAAATTAGCCTGGTCCTGTGGATCGTCAAGTTTAATTTCAACATCTTCATCATCCTCATCAGTGAAGTTATGAACTAGGTAGTTAGGAGCCTTGTGCTTTGCCCCTAAAAGTTGTCGGATCTTACTCCAAAATTTTGCTGGTTCCCGTTTATACTGATTAGCTTGAAGAACTAGAAATTTCCAAATGTCCCGTTTGTGTTGACTAATCATGTTAATTAATTCGTGCCTTAATTGGTGCAGTGTAGCTGCTGGTGGTTGTCGCGTTTGAAGATGCCTTCGACATTCTGCTTGATAATTTCTTTAAAATTTTCTCTAATTTCCCTAGTAGGTTTATATTGTTGGTATATCTTTGTGGAAGCTAATTGGCAAGTTGCATTAGTAGCTTCAATAATTCGATTATGCAGGGACCTGATTGCATCATCAATTGCATTGGAAGGTAGATTTTCCAATGACACAATTTCATCCTCACCCAGATATGCCCTGAAGGGGTCAAATCCTAGGGTGTTAAGATTGGGTTTAGGAGGTACAGGTATTCTAAATGGAGAAGTTTGTAGTTTTATTATAACAGGGATATGGTCAGATCCTACATTTCCACCAGGAGATATACGACAGTGAAAGATGTCACAGTCTCTGTTTGTCAGTACTATATCTGGTGTCCCTGGATGAGGTCCAATGTACGATTTAAAGAATGGGCCTTGAAATGACAAGTTTCTAGCTGTCATGATATTAAAGAGTTGTTTCCCTTTTAAGTCACCCAGTGGAACACCAGCTCCACAGTTGAAGAGGGCAGGGTGATGAGCATTAAAATCTCCTGCTAGAATTGTTGGAATATTTCTGCTTAATATCCTATGTAGAGGAATTGACTATACAGCAGGGCCCCGCTTTATGGCATTTCGCTTTACGGCGTTCCGCTAATACGGACATTTCAAATTATGACCAAAACTCCCTATACGGCTCCCCCCACCTGTCTTTCTAATACGGTCACAGCTGCCCACCGAGTTTGTTTACATTCTCCCTGATCACATCTCGTTATTATGTCTGGAAACTTTCCAAAATTTCAAGTGTTTTAAAGTTACTGTATATTTTATATGTATTGTACTTGATAATTAAACTTGTGTACACCTGTACCTAAATAAACTTACACACTGTGCTGGCATGTAGGTACACATTAAAATCACTAAGTCTCTCTACTCTTGATGCAATAATAATAATAATAATAATAATAATAATAATAATAATAATAATAATAATAATAATCTCTTGGGCGCATTAATGTGCATATTACGTTAATATAGACATTTCCCTTAATCTATCTATGATATTTTTTTCAAAATTATATAAGAAACACATTATGTAACACACAAACATGATACATGCACCACAGTATAAAAATTTATACAAATATATATGAGATGTTTACCAAACGGGTTTGTAGAAGTTTCGGAAGAATTACGTTTTCTCTAGCCGTCACCTGTTACTAGGGATAACTGTAGAAAAATATTCCTTTCATATGCCTTCACTTTATAGCTATAATTCTGTACTAACTTGTACACAGTGTAAGAGTATTTGTTTCATGATTTAATTATTATAATAATAATAAAAATATTATAAGGTAAAAGTTTCACAAACTCTTACAAATGTACATGAATGAACTAAAACTGGACACGTATTAATACCGTCTATTTCGCCTGACCGAGTGATCGTCCACAACCTGTTCAGTTTGTCTGTTTACGCTGTCTGAGCTCGGTGTATCATTAAATGTTGTATATTACGTTAATATACAAATTTTCATTAATCCATCCGTGATATTTTTTTCAAAATTATATAATAAACACGATACATAACATAAATACATAAAAACATATGTGTAGAGAACCTAGGATAACCCAAAAAAGTCAGAGTGACTTACTTCCATTGCCTTCACTCAGAGCATCATTTCTTCTCAAAATGATGTTACATGAGAATGGGAGTGTTCTTCTTTATTTATTCTACCGTATCAATGTAGAGACAACCTGTACACAATGTAACTTGTACACAAACCAGACGTGTACACTGTTTACAAAACTTACCTTCGCCTGGTTTGTTTACATAACTCTGCGCCTGTCCCTCTCATGCACTCATTCTTCTCTCTGGTTTTGGTAGCCTGGCTGACTACCATACATACCACACTTGATTTTTTACAATAAATACTAATCATCTCACCCTATATTTTAAGGTAAGTAATGAGTGAACTGTATATACATTTTATCGCTCTGGGATGCTTAAATATCATAGAATAGTATGTGTGGGTGGGTGGCCTGGTATGGTAGCTTGGCTGACTACCATACATACCACACTTGATTTCTTACAATAAATACTACTTGTCTCACCCTAGATTAAGACTATAAATATTTTAAGGTAAGTAATGAGTGCACTATGTGTGTATTGTACTTTTTTATTGTTTTTTTGATGCCTGGTTCTATTGCTAACATAATATATGTTAGTGTAAACTTGTTATCTAGTGTTTGTATGCATTTGTAAGTGGAAAAAAAGGGTGTTCCACTTTACGGCGGTAGCCTGGAACCTAACCCGCCGTATAAGTGGGGCCCTCCTGTATATGGTTGTCTCGGGGGAAAATATCCAGTTCCTATCACTAGTTGTCCATGAGACGTTGTCATTTCTATTGCAAGAATGTTATCTTCATCAACATGAATATTTTTAAATGTATAGCCTAATTTAACTAAGATGGCTACACCACTAAAGGGTCCTCTCGATTTCTCAACAGTAGAGTAACCACGTAATTTAATATGTTGATCAACTCTTGCAGCTGTCTCGTTCAAAAGTATAACATCGGGATTGTAGTTATGTAGTTCAACCTCAAGAAGGTAACGGTTATTAAAGAAATGTTGAACATTAAGTTGGAAAATTGTAATCCCCATTATTTCTTGCACTTCGCTCGTGTACTGCGGTCTGAACGCCTGCAAGTAAAGTCACGTGTTGTATCCACACTATCCCTGCTGGACTCGTCAAGGGGAGGAGGGAACTTTTGCGTGGGTGCTTGTGTATTAAAAATGCCATCATCTTCACTAGAGGTAGTAATATTAACAGACTCATTAGAATCGTTAGTCATCATCAGAAAACTGAGGTATGCTATTTCCAGTTACAGGAAGCAGAGGCTCGTGAGAGTTAATGGGAGACTGTGGAGGCTCCAAGGGAATATTAGGTAGGCAAGGTGAGTTACCTTGGGAAAGTTCCTGTTCAACAGGATCAGCTTCTATAGCGGGAGAGTAGGCACCAATTTCTGGGGCATTGTTATGTTCAGTTGTTGACTTATCGGGTTGAGGGGAGTTGACAACCTGGGTTTGCGAGGTGGGCGATCCCTGGGCCAGGGATGACTTAGGCTTATTTTTAGATGTAGAGTATGGTACATACTTCTTGTTATGAGAAGCTGGGTCATAATAGCCTTGACATTTTCTGGGATAGTGATGGGAGTGATCCCATTAGCCATTAACAGATCATTTAAAACCTGAGAGCAGAGTTGAATGTCACCACCTGCTATGTCTTTGGCCATCATGTACATTAGTTGTGCTCTCGTCATATCCCCGGCTGTGGATACCTGAGACATAGGAGATGAGACTGAACCTTGTTGTTGCGTTTGTGTATGTTGTAAGTGAGGGTTAGATTGGGGCGCTCCAAGAGGGGCAAAATTCCAAACATGGAATCCATTGGTAGAGACCTGAGGAGTCCACTTGATCCAGGCAGAGCTGGGAAGGAAGTTTGGGACATCGTTGGCGGTGCCTGGGGAGTGGTCTTCTTAGAAGTGGACAGTTTCTTGGCTTCAAAAATTTTTCTGCATTTCCTTTTTTCTTTCAGGACAAATAGCAGAAACAGCATGATGTTTTCCATTGCAGAGGACACATTTGGGTGTATTTTGTTGTTTACAATCTCGATACGAATGTTGGCCAGAGCAAATGCTACAAATCTGCCCTTGAGTACTGCATTTGTTGTTGTTATGACCAAAGGCATAACACTTAAAACATTGTGTCACACTGACAAAGTGTTCAAGAGAAATTTGGTCAGGTGTACATCTGGTGCCAAAACATTTGAAGCCATTTTGACACACAAGTTTGGCCTCCTCAGGTGTCTCAAGTATTAACTTTAAGGTTACCTTGTTGTTGTTAGGATTCGAGAATTTATGTGCTTCTACAGCCCTAAATTCAGAATTCTCTGTATTAATGTTCTCCACAATTTCATTCACTGTGCTATGTTTCATGAAACTGTTGATTCTGGCCACAAACAGTCCTCTGAGCTTGATAGCTCTCAGGTGCAACTGGGGTAACACCAGAAGTCTTCAGTTTATCCAGGACATCATGCTTCAGCAGTTGAAGTAACTCTTCTTCCGAAGAGAGGAGAAGTACTGCTGCAGCGTGGGTTTGAAAAACATCCACTGGAGCAACAGTTGAGTTGGAGAAAATACATGTTAGAATTTCTTTCATGGACATTTGATTACCATCAATGCGTAATCTTACACGTATCCTCGCCATGATGTTTAGGAAGGAACATCTGGCAGAGGAGTTTCGTAACAAAAAAGGGATCTTTCCTTAATGTTAACCTAACATCCTATTTCAGCTGACTTATGAAGGTCAGCCCCTAAGATAGCCTACCCTCGAGTAGTGAGGGGAAAGGGCCCAAGGCAAAGATCGGCCGGATTTTAAAAAACCACACGGGCTACCGGATGGTCAAAATGTCTTGTGTTAACTCACCAAAGCAAAGTTGCCGAAAAAGAAGAAGATAGGAAAGTCAGAAGGATAGCAATGTATGTAGTGTGTTAAGTGCCAGGAGCAAGGGTCTGGTGACCCCTTCTCCTGTATGCATTACTATGGTTAAAAAGAGAAACTTTTGTTTTTCTTTTTGGGCCACCCTGCTTCAGTGGGATATGGCCAGTTTGTTGAAAGAAGAAGAGCTCAGTTTTTGTCATTTCATTTATTTCTGCTGAGTGGGACTTTAAAAGTTTAATCACACAAAAAAATTTAAAAGATAAATTCCTTCAGGCAGACATGGGCATCCACTGTAACTTTTCCAGTGGAATCAATGGGACAAGCAAACTTGGAGCTGGACATAAATATGATTGATTTTTCATTAACAAAGGCCACTCACTCCTATCAAATATGCTCACACATGCTTGCTGGAAGTCCAAGCCCCTTGGACTTCCAGCAATATTTTCATCTTTAGCTTATTGTGAGTGGTGAATATATTTATCGTAGGAAGTCTGAATAAATGAAGAATGGGTATAATTGAAAACTGCTGCATTAGCAAAACGTCATAATGCGAAGTGCTGTAAAGAGGGGCCCTCTGTATCATCGTACCGTTTACAATTACTGTTTAGCTAAATGAGGATAATGTTAGATAAAACTTACCTGAATTTCATGACTCTTGAATCCTTTTCAAAAGATTTTGGAGAGACCATATATATAAGCAATCAATTAGTTATTGCCTTTATAGTCTTAAGATAGGTTTAAGTTTACCCAAAATGCTATGCATACCAAGTGGCTTTCTGCACACTTAAATGTCACCCATCTTTGTACAAACATAGCATCATGCTGAAATAAAGATTATGATTATTATAATACCACAATGTACAATATAAAAATTAGGACATAGAATTTTTTACCTAGTCTACCAATGAGATCTTGCTTGGTTTTTGCCCCAGCAGCCACCAGAGCCAGGCCTCCTGCATGAGCATCAATAATAGACGTTGCAACAAAGGTGCTGTCAGACAGTCCCAATTCCAATGCTGCTGTTGCAGAGATTTTGCCACAGTTAGTCCCAGGTGCCATCACTGTCTTCCCTGATGAAACAATTAGCTCAATTAAGTCAATCTGGGTGCATTTCATTTTTAAACAAGGTGAACTATAGAATTGACAAAGGAAAAAAAAGGTAGGTTAAGTGCTGAGGCATCTGTGGAAAGAGGCAGCTACTGGAGGCAGTAGAGATGTCTTGTCTGAGGTGTAATGTGAATATTATGCAGAGAATGTGAAAAGTAGAAATTAGCAGATGTGCGGGGTTACAAAATTGTATAATTCAGAGCTTAGGAGGGGTTGTTGAGATAGTGTGGATATTTGGAGAGGATGGAGCAAGATGGAATGACTAAAACGAAAGGAGGAAGGGTAGGAATTGTCCCAGGAAGGGTAAATGAGGTTTTGAGGGCTAGAGGCTTGAGCATCCAAAAGACTTATGGGAGAATGTCAGGTCAGAGTGGAGACAAGTGGTTTTTTTTAGTTTGACATGCTGTTGGGAGTGTGAGCAGGTAACATTTATGAATGGATTCAGGGAAACCAGTTAGCAGGACTCGAGTCCAGGAGGTGGGAAGGACAATGCCTTCCTCCCAAAAGAGAGGTTGGGATATTACAATTCAGAAAATCATTTTAATTTTTTTTGGGCACCCAGGTATTAAAAAAAAAGTTTTTTAAAAAAGTACATAATTTTCATATTTCTACACAGCAAAAACTAAAAACAAGGTAAAAAAATTTTAAAACCTTTCAACTCACCCCCAAAAAAAACACAGTATACATGGTACTTGGCATAGAACAGCTCCAACTGAACAATTTGTAAATGATTTTTGGAAAATGTATTTT